TTTTTGAGAGAGAGAGAGAGCGCACATGCACACACACACGTGAGCATGAGCAGGGAAGGGGCAGAGAGACAGGAGATACAGACTCTGAAGCAGGCTCCAGGCTCATCAGCCAGAGCCTGACGTGGGGTTCAAACTCACCAACTGCGAGATCGTGACCTAAGCCTAAGACGGACACTTAACAGATTGAGCCACCCAGGCACCCCTATTGCTTCAGTGTTTTAATCTTAAGACTAGTTTTATAAGTGATTAAGCTACTACTTTTATTTTGTATTAATGTTTTCTAGTGAGATTTTTAGTTTTGCAGTTTTGTTATTGATTAGTGCCCTTTGTTTTCAGCTTAAAGAACTCCCCTTTACATTCCTTTTAAGGCTGGTTTAGTGGTGATGAGCTCTTATGTTTTGTTTCTCTAGAAAGTAAATTCTCCTTTAATTCTGAATGATAACTTTGCCACATACATTATTCTTTGTTGGAAGTTTTCTCTTTCAGCCCTTTGATTATATTGAGCCACTGCCTTCTGGCCTACAAAATTCCTGCTGAAAAATCTCGTATAGTCTTAGGACGGTTCCTTGTATGTAACAAGTTGATTTTCTCACCGTTTTAAAGATTTGTTCCTATCTTAAAGTTTTAACATTTTAGTGACAATGTATCTTGGTGATGGTTTCTTTGTGTTTATCTTATTTTGAATTCTCTGTGCTTCCTATATCTAGTATCTGTTTCTTTTCCAGGTTAGGAAAGTTTTCAACTATTGTTTCTTCAAGTAAGTTTTCTGCCTCTTTCTCTTCTTCTAGGATTCCGTCATGTAATGTGAATATTAGTCTGCTTGATGTCCCATAAGTTCCTTGAGCTGTCTTCACTTTTATTTATTTTATGTTATGGTTTTTTTTTTTTTTTTTTGATGCTCTGATTGGAGTTCCACTGCCCTGTCTTTGAGTTCACTGATCCTTTCTTCTGCTTCATCTCATTTGCTGTACTCTTTCAGTGTATGTTTCAGTACAGTTATTCTATTCCTCAGCTGTGTGACTTCTGTTTGGTACTTTGTTATTTATATTTATTTTGTTTTTGAAAATATCCTTATCCATTCTTTTGAGTTCTGTGAGCATCTTTATCATTATTTTGAACTCTATCAGGTAAATTATTTCTATTTTTTTTTAAGTTTATTTATTTTGAGGGGTACCTGGGTGGCTCAGTTGGTTGGGCATCTGACTTTGGCTCAGATCATGATCTCTTAGTTCATGGGTTCCAGCTCCACACTCAGTGCTGGCAGCTCAGAGCCTGGAGCCTGCTTCAGATTCAGTCTCCATCTCTCTCTGCTACTTCCCCGCTCATGCTGTATCTCTGTATCTTAAAATATAAAGGAACATTAAAGAAAATTTTAAGTTTTGTATATAAATAAAAAAAAATTTTTTTTTAAGTTTGTTTATTTTGAGAGAGAGAACCAGCAGGGGAGGGGCAGAGAGAGAGGGGACAGAGGATATGAAGCAGACTCTGTGCTGAAAGCAGTGAGCCTGAGCCAGAGGCAGGGCTCACACTGATGAACTATGAGATCATGATCTGAGCTGAAGTCAGAATGCTCAATTAACCAACTAAGCCACCCAGGCACCTGCCGGTTTTATTTTTAAAAGCTCCCAGTAAAGGGTGCCTGGGTGGCTCAGCTGGTTCAGCATCCAGCTTCAGCTTAGGTCCTGAATTTGTGGCTCCTAGGTTTGAGCCTTGTGTTGGGCTCTGTGCTGACAGCTTGTAGCCTGGAGCCTGCTTCAGATTCTCTGTCCCCTTCTCTCACTGTCCCTAGCCCACTCAAAAATTTTGTCTCTCTCTCAAAAATAAACATTAAAAAATAAAAATAAAAAAGGCTGCCAGTAGTTAAGTGTGCCAAGACTGGGTCAGTGTCCTAGAGGGGAATATCTCATGGTGCATCTAGATTCAGGCTAAGTGAAAGTCAGACCCTCAGGCATCAGCATTTAAGGTATAAAAATATATACAGTCCAGTAGGACCACGAGCATAAGCCCTGGAGGCCAGGTGATCAAGGGGCACCCCATACATAGCAGCTGCAGAAACCAGGGCACAAGACATAAAATTCAGGGCAACAGACATGTGTAAGGAGATATTGGCACTGTGGAACAGGACACAGGAAGAATGTGAAGATGAAACTTGCTAGTTGGAGTGAGGCAGATGCGAGGGGGAGGGGGGAATCTAAAGATAGCACTTGCTAGGGGTCCAGGGGAGGCCTAGAGTTTTAAATGAAGGTAGAACTTGCCAGCCTCAGTTCCCTGAAACAGTATCCCAGCAGGACCCTAGATATGTGTTAAGTTAGATGCCTGCCCTTCACTTTATGTAAAAGAGGCTCATTTACTTATATTCAACTCTGGGCACTATTGGCTACCTTTGGGCGGGCCCTGGGGCAAGGAAGTCCACACAACAACCCTTTAAAAGCCATTTTTTCTTTCCACTATAGCTTGCTGGGTCTCATGAACATGAGCCCTGTTGGCTTTCAAAGGTATATGTTTTAGGAGCTCATTTCTCAAGTGCAGGTCTTAAAAGTTACAATGCCCAATGTAGGGTTCAAACCCATCGCGCCTCAGGAGAAGCTCTGGGTTACTAACTTACTTAAGCTTCTTGCTTACCTAAAATTATTCTGCTTATGAACTCTTGGTATTTTTTGATCGCTCTTAAGCTTGAAGAATCTGGTTCAGTCCTGTCCCTGTGCCCAGATAAATTACCAGATTATATAAATCCTGAACATTGAGGAAAAGTGAAAATAGTCTTAAAATAGTGAAATTATGTGCCTTTTCATTGAGCAGCTCTAAATTTAATCAGTCAGCATCTCAAAATATATAATTCAAGATGGTTTATGCAGGAAGGAAATATTTCCAAAGGAGTAGGTATGAGGGAATCAGATAGTGCATGACTTTGGTGCTAGCAACAACTAAATTGATTACCAGAACCTAGAAGACAGAAGTTGTGTTAGAGGGAACTTTGAGGGGAATAATGAACTTTGGTAAAGGGACGGAGTCAGCCTCAGGGCAACTCATAATGAGCCAGTGGAATAAATATCCTGAATTAATTCTGTTCCCTCCCTTTAATCTGCTTGTGAACCCTGTTGACTGAAGCCAGAGGACCCAGGAACTCATTGATACGGTTCATACCAGTCAGCTTGCCAGGGTAGGAAAAAGTGTTCAGTGGGTATAGAGTGGCAAAAGAAGATATCCAGTATGAGAATGATGCAGGCTGGGTAGCCTTACTATCCATTGGTCCTAGAGCATCTCCAGTCTGGAATAACACACCTAGTAAGTGTGCAAGAGAGCAATAACTGGACTTAATTTTTTTTTAATGTGAACACAGACCTTTTTCATGAGTTAATTACGTATTTAAAATTTTAATCATGAGTGAAAGAAAACCTTTTGCAAGATTGTTCAACTGGTCCCATAGCTGTTTCAGCAGAACACAACCCTAAACATGTAAATTGTTAAGAAATTTCAGATTTTTTTTTAAGTGAACTTTTCCTCTTTGTGTGTGACTTGGATGATCTGCAGGCAGAGTATAATGGTATGAGACCTAAAAGTACACAAATGCAACATGACTTTTATCAGTAGCAACGTTTCCCTAAAAATTTGGTTCCAAGAAGGGAGATATAAAAGAAATTTTCCGGGGCGCCTGGGTGGCTTAGTTGGTTAAGCGTCCGACTTTTGCTTAGGTCATGATCTCGCGGTTCGTGGGTTCGAGCCCCGCGTCGGGCTCTGTGCTGACTGCCAGCTCAGAGCCTGGAGCTTAACAGCTCACTTAAAAGAAATTTTTTTACATTGCTTTTGATGAAAATTTTGTCAGTTACTATTGATAGGGAAAATTAAGAGTTTTGCTCAGAAATACACTTAGATGTACAAGATGACATTACATATGGCTTCTGTATATTCTAAATGAAAGCCAGGACAATCCTGTGAAAAGTTTTGTTTAAAAAATGGTCTTTAATCGCTTCTCGGCCTTTTGGCTAAGATCAAGTGTTAAAAAAATGGTCTTTATTATGTGATGCTAGGAATGAATCAGCTTAAGGTCTGATCTATGCTGTGGCATGGGTGACCAAGGAATTATGCTGCCAATAAGCTAGGCATAGGGTTGGGTAGGAGTGCACAGATAATATTATATAGTTCCACTTAATGAGAGGAATCCAGGGTGGGGCGGACACATTCATAGAGATGGAAAATAGAGTAGAGGTTGCTGGAGGTTGAGAGGGAGAGTGGAATGTGGAGTTTACTGCTTAGTGGATGCAGGGTTTGTTTGGGGTATTGAAAGGGTCTGAAATTGTGCAGCATTGTGGGTATGCTTGCTGCAGTGAATGGTACACTTAAAAATGGTTTAATAGAAGATTTGGAGAAATTGGAACCCGTGTGCACAGTGGGTGATAATGTAAAATACTGGAGTCATTGTAGAAGACATATAGCATTTCCTCAAATAATTCAAAATACAATTGCTGTATGATTCAGCAATTTCTCTTTGGGGTGTATACCTTTTTCAGTAAGGTTTTGAAGAGATATTTGGACACCAGTGTTACTGCAACATGAGTCATGATAACCAAAAGGTGGAAGCAATCCAAACGTCCCTTGACAGATGAATGGATAAAGAAAGTGGTATATAGACACCTCCAATGGTAGATATTATTCAGCCTTAAGAAAGGAGGAATTGTAACACATGCTGCAGCATGGATGAACTTTGAGGTCATTATGCTAATATGAAATAAGCCTGCCCCAAGAAGACAAATACTGTAGGATCCTACTTATATGAAGTACTTAAGAGTAGTCAAATTTATGGAAATGAAGTAGAATGGTGGTAGCCAGGAACTTGCAGGGAGGGAGGGAGGAATGGGAAGTTGTTTAATGGGTATAGAATTTACTTTGAAAAAACAGAACAAAAACAAAATAGAAAAGAAAAAAGTATGTAAAACCTTTGGAAAAAAAAAAATTTTGTGTTACTACAATTAAAATTAATCCTTTGAAATTTTTCTTTTTAGATAATACAGGAACGTTCACCAATGCAGGGTCATGCTGTGGATCAGTAATAGAGAGGGAAATTATAAATTGTTCATCCCCTGAGATTCCTGCAGAATTTAATGAACAATTCAACACTAAGAAAGACAAACAAGAATTAATAAATCAGGATAAAGGAGCCAACTTAGAAAAAGAAAACAGTTGGTATAATGATCAGTGTAATGAATTCACAAAGACAGAGAAAACAAAACTTACGAAGAAATGTCCTAAAAGGCCCGATTGGAATATAAATAAGCCACTCAAAAGGTATATTCCAGCATCAGAAAAGTACCCTAAACAGCTTCAAAAGCAGAGAGAAGAAAAAAAAGTAAGAAGGCAGATGGAACTGCTTAATTTGGTAGAAAGAAACAGTCCTGGACAACTCTCTCAGAATAGAGGCCCTTCACCAGTTTTTCCTTCATCTCAAGAAACTGAGCCAAGGTTTAAGTGGCATCCAGTGAAAAAGGTAAAACTCCTCTTTCTTAAAATCTATTTTGAAGTATGGATTGATGTTTCTAGATTGAAAACTGAGTTCCCTACATGCAGAGTTTAAGAATTGTGCTTTAGCTTATAAAAGATTGTCAAACCATGGCCCATGAGCAAATCCATCAAGTTTTATAGGAACATAGCCATGCTCATTCCTTTATGAACTGTCTGTGGCTGGCTTAGAGTAGTTGCAAGAGACCACATGGCCCACAAAGCTGTCTGGTCCTTTACATAAAAACTTGACACTTAAACCCTGTATAGATTAATGCTGTTCATAATTCCATTATTCAAATAGCCATTCAAAATTCTTATTTATTGTCCGTATTGACAGGATAATTTTACAAGGTCACATATTACTAAAATCTCCTATCATCCAGTATCTTATTCAGATGTTGCCCTCAGATTATCAACAAGTAATCATCAGAAGTATTTGTGGGGATGTAAGGCAATACTGTTATTACTCCTTTCTGCATTTACCGTTCAGGAAGAAGATCCTCTGAAAATTAATGATTTCAGCAAGAAAAGGTATGTCATGGACTGGATTGATTCCATAGCTACTTAGTGCTGTGTATATGGTTCAGAAGTACAAACTATTTGCTCAGAATATAGGTGACATGAAAACATGAGCATATATGAAATCAGTAACAGAAAAGTATCAGACTTCCATGTGAGGCAGAGGTTTAAGAGAAAGGTGGCTGGCATTTTATCTAAAATTTGAAAGCCCAATTTGGACTGGGCCTTATAAATAAACATCCTGGGTAGAACATAGGCAAGGTATTGTTGTCTGCAGACTTAGATGAAATAGTTGGAATTTCTAGTTACGTCAGCAGTGAAATAGACATTGTACTTGGATGAAAAAATGACTAGTAGGGATAATGAAAAATGCAGTTAACCTATTTTATGCCTTTGAACCAGATGGTTTAGAGTTCTAACAAGTTCAGTTCAAATGTTATATTATATTATATTATGTTAAGTATATTATTTTATGCTGAATATTCTAAGGGGTAACATTAGGCTTAAGTTAACCCACCTAATGTTGATGCTCTTTTTTCCCTTTATACTTGCCAAGTATATATCCTTGCCAAGTAAAAACTGATCATATTCTGTTGCCATTTAGGAAGTTTCCTAGAACTCACTGCTCTATGTAGTGTTCCTTAAAGGCTTTGCATTTAGGATAAATTGAAATGTGTAAATCAAATGTGATTGAAGAGCAGATATGCTTGATCTAAGATACATAATTTTGTATTAAAGCTTCTTGGTCCTTAATTGCGTTTTTTTGAATACAGGTCTCAGTCACCACCACCAGCTCCAGTGGTGAAAAACAGAACACAACAAACTCAGACACTAAATAATTATGAAAGAGAGAATCTGATCTTAGAAAGCAGTCAAACAGAAACAACACCTGGGGTTTCTGAACCATCCCAGTTTATCCCCTATGTCCGAACCAATGAGATCTATTACCTTGATCCAAATGCACCACTGTCCAGGCCATTAACCCCGGATCTTCAGTACCAAAATCCACATGGTAAGTAAATTCAAAATCCAAATTAATATTCCTGCCCTTAGCCAGGAGAGGTAGAATTTCCATTTTGGGGTGCATTACTAAATTTTTAATTGAATATGTATTAATTTTTTCTTTGTACTGTCTTAAATTTATTCATGAATCCTTAGACTACTATAGGATAGGGTTGTATCGTATTAGTTATATTTGACATATTGCTCTCATCTGGCTTCAGACTGTGACCAAGAACAAGGACAGCTATTTGACTCTGGCATCAGGGACCCACTTCTTAATCCTAACTTGTTGAAAAACAGGGATCGACAACAAGCAATCCTTAAGGGACTATCGGAACTGAGACAGGTATGATGAGCTTTTTCACCAGGTGTGGATGTAACTAACTGTTCAGTGGAGGGTGGTGTGTTGGATCTTAATCAGGCTCCATGCTCAGCGTGCAGCCTGATAAAGGGCTCGATCTCACATCCTGGATCCCACGATCCTGGGATCATGACCTGAGTCGAGAGCTGAACTGACCAAGCCCCTCAGGAGCTCCTGGAAGGCTGTGTTGGAATGGCTAAGTGTTTTACTTAAAGTGCCTAATTGGTTACATGGTTTATGTCACTTCTTCCACATAAAAAAATTCATCTTTTAGCCTTATAAAAATCTTTCCAGTATGAACTCATGAGACAGTTCTAATATTAAGACAATTTTATTGAATGGGAAAAAAAGCATACATTTGAAAGGTAAAACATGATCAGTAAGGCCCTAAAACAAAAAGCAGAAAATACACAATTATGCTTTAATAAACTCTCAGTAATGCAGTTCACACTTTTTAAATTGAATGTGTTGGCAGTGCTCAGAACAGAACATTGATCCAAGTCCCAAAGAATAATTCGGTGTGAAATTTAGCATATAACCTTACCCCATCAGACTACATCTTCTCCTAGACCAATTATTGTCAAGTAAAAATAAAATCTGGTAACACATTCACTATTTAAGGCTATAACCTTTTTCTGTCAGCTTAGGAAAAATAAACTGCCACTTGAGGAGTATCCTTTTCCATGTCCAGTCATTTGCTAATGCCTCTTGCATTTCAGATTGTTGATTCAAGAATTGCTTACGAATTCTTTTCTCACAGAGCTAGAAAATCACCTACACTAACAGAATTATGTAGAAGGTAACTTCAGTTCTCAAAATGCTAGCTTTGGTTACATATAGATTGAGTTATGTAACAAGTAGTAAATATCTTCAAAGTGACAAGGCACTTTTCTTAATAGAGGTAAAAGTTGTGAGGTCAAGAGGCAGGAAAGTATGATTGTACACAGTGACCCACCTGTATAGTAGCCACATCTTATTTTAACGGGGCCTTGTCTAAGCCACTAAGGTTAGTGCAGTCAAGATAAACACTGGATGTTTGTGGACACTCCTTCAGTGTGTCTCATTACTAGTGTAAGAGCCATGCCATTGGGGGATTTCAGCCCCATTTTTAGGGAGACTAAGAATCATCCCACTTGGTTTTTATGCTAAGAAGATAATCTTGGATATACAACATCCAAGTGAGTTAAGTTTTTTTGAGTGGTTAAAATTCAGCATGACAAAGCTTAAGCTACGGCCAAGTAATGGAACTTAATTACAGGTTTTAAAACTAAATAGAAATCTGGGTTAGCAGGGCTGAAATGTAAATTAGGAATAATCTGCAAGTCTGCTGCACACCTTACTAACATATCAATGTGATTTCAGGGCCTTCTCCAGAAGCAAAGGGAGTTGGAAACTAATCTCATGCCTTTAGCTGCAAATCGAGAAGAGAATTTTAATTCTTCATTTTAAATGTAGAAAAATCAAATGCTTCATGTTTGTGGTCTTCTAAATTATAAAATGTGTTCATTGCATAATTGTATTTTCCAAATAACCTAGATTTTTAAAATGCTTATTTAAAACTTGTACATTATGTAGTACAACACTGTGTATTTTTTTTTTACAATAAAACAGACATTTTGTAAAGCTTAGTAGTAAAAAAAAATTTTTTTTCCTGCTCTATCACAGTCTAGGGATTTAAGTCCTGTAAAAACACTTTCTACTTACCTTACGACAGGTTTCTGACCTGTTCACAGACAACGTTCTTCTACACTTATGTAGCTTATTACTGAAATAATCAGTTGGGTATTTTACTCTATAAAAAGATTTAAAAGGTTAGAACTCAGATTCTCAGTTCTTCTGAGGGGTCCAAAAGAAGGTCTGACTTAACACATCCCAACTTTACAAAAAAGTAGCTGATTTAGTATTTCTTTTCTCTAAATTTTTTTTTTTTTACTTTTATTGTAGAAACAAGTTTTCAAAAACAGTTTGCATTTGTAATGGCAGGCAGTTATGAGCAGTAGATATAGTTTTAAAATTTATCCCCATATACTTTATCTGTGAATTTAAAGTTATTTTTAGAACAGTGCTTAAAGTGTTTAACACCTCAAAAATATACTTACATTTTTCTAAGACTACCAATTTAAAAATCCATAGCAAAGTTGTTCCAAATTTGTTCAATGCCTTTAATAAAGCTATCTTTTGAAATATGAAAGTGAATTTGAGTAAGTCAAGGACCACAGTAAGCACTGAAAATCATTAATTATTAAATACCCTCAAATAAAAGTTTGAGCAAAATTTTAGCAACAGGCAATTTTTACATGGCTAAGCTTAAAGATAAAAATAATGCTGCATGGTATTAAAGTTCTGAGTCTTAAATCTTGAGGTATTGAGCCAAATCCTGTAAATATTTATTGACATTACTGGCTTATACCTGTATAAAAACACTATACAAAAGCTTAAAATAAATACAATAGTTGATTGGTACGTAATTTCAGCAAAAGTAGTTGGTATCATCTGACGGGGGGGGGGTGAGAAAAGCCATTGTTTACTATGGTCTTGCAAATATCTAATTTTATATATAAAATAGGCTTCAATTTGAAGTCCAAGTACAGGTGACATATAAATGTAAAACTTAAAAGTGCCAACATGAGATAATTCAAGTACAATATATGTTAAAAATATATATATTTATTTCAATTTTCAGATGCTTCAACTGTTACAGGCCATCATGATTTAAATAAGAGGGGAAAAACATTTGAGAAAGGACAAGAAACCTTTTTGTTTAGAAATGAAATATAAATTGTTAATTCACTTATAAGAAACAGAAAAAGTCCATAACAACCTGTTTCAAAAAAAAAGTTACTATAATTATTTCTCTTTTGAAAACGGCCTGGAAGAATCACTTTTCCCCCACCTTAATGGAGATGGAGATTTATCTCTATCCAAGCTTTGAGTATAAGCAGATAAAAAGTAATTTTCACTTTCTTGAGACTGACTTGATGAAAGGGCATATGGTGTCCCCAAAAATGTCTGATGAGTGAGAACATTAAAATGACTAAACTGATGGGACATATGTAATTGACTGTGATAAACCTGAAAGCTGCTATATGCATCTTGCTCAGTTGAACTGCTGTTCTCTCCTTCAGAGCACGCTAGAGCAACAGAAGCTCTCTCTTCAGAATCAATCTGATAAGTCTTATCTTCTAATAAACTTTTTTGCACGTCAAGAGACGATTGCAACTCAATTTGAATATTCTTATTTTGATCTGTTCCACGTGATCCTTTGGTCTCTTTCGCCAATATTTCTGAATGAAAATTGCTGCATACTTCTATTTGTGAGATTTCATCCCCTGAATCCAGAGACATGTCCTCTTCATCCTTTTCATCGTTTTCTAAAAGAGCTACATTTAAAAAACAAAAAGTCCTCCTCTATTGAAATACACAATTTGTTTAAGTTTTAAAATTATACACTACTCACACAATATAATGCGTCAGGGTCTGCAAGTCCACAATCCCTTAAAGCTTGGTCTTCTGCCACAAGTTCACTTAGTCACAACACTCACACTAGGTGTGAATGTCCAGATAATCCGATGCTAAAAGCTTCTGCGAAATGTGTTCACGTTTAATGTTGGGAAATCCCAACTCCCAGCTCCAAAGGGGTTAATGTCAAAACAGCATCTAAAGTTATACGGTAATTCAGTATTTGACAAGACAAATAAAAAATAAAAATTTTGACATCTAGCTTCATTGGATTATGACTAAACTGGTTAGTTCTATCAAATGTTTGATCATCTGTGCTTTTCCTCAAAAACAACTTACATCTTTCATCTAACATAAAACCTGGAACCAAAGCAGAGGCCATTCTCACAAAAGACTAAAGCTATGGATAACCCTTACTACCTTGTAATTAAATTGCTTTATACATCTGGGGAGATTTAGTAGCCCAATGCTAAATCCCCATTATCTGGGGTCCTCCTTTTAAAAATAGAACCCCTTTGCTGACAACAGCAGCCAATAAAGCTCACATACCCTCAAAGACAAAATGCCTACACTATAATATGCGACACACAGTAACTCTTAACAGCTTGTAGTGACTACAGTATAAATGAGCAGATTTTGTGGATGCTAAATATAAAAATCATTGGTGCCTTGAAACATTCCCCTGAAGCTGTTTACACGGAGGGTGAGGAGTTTCAAGACCAGCATTTTGTTATATGAAAATGAAACAAAACCGTTCCTCTTTTTCTGTCTGCCTTTAAAGAAAAGGAAAACTACTGAAAAGTTACCTGACTGCGACTCAAGATTCTCATTAGCACCAAGCAGTGGAAGGTTTTCTTCTGTGATTGAGTTGTGATAGCCCACAAGATTTTTAAAGTTTTGCATAAAGTCTTCAGTAGATGCAACCACTATTCCATTATCTGTATAACTGGAAGTCATCTTGATATTCTTTTCTAAATTAAAAACAAGTTTTGAGCATAAAACACTTGAAAATATATATAGACAGATGATGGTGCCTGCCCCCGGCCTCCATAAAAGTGTTCAACACCTACCACAGGCCCCCAAAATTCTTTCATCCACACTCCTACATTCACAATAGAAAGTTTAAAGGCACCCTTTACCTGTTAAAAAGACTATGTGTCGTTGCTGTACGTTCTGAGCCTGAAGTCTGATAAGGCAATCCAATTCTGGTGCATTTCGAGTTTGTGAATCACAATTGTGGTACGACAGAATTTCAACCAGATGCTTCTTCTGATAGACATTCAGAAGTGTCAGCAGACTTAGAGCCTTAGCATTCAATCTGTGAAATTAAATAGTTCAATATCTGGATCTGTATTTCTATAGTACAGAAGTGTTTGCTTCAAATTAAAACCGTACTAATTTCTCAATTGAGGCAACCAATGACAACTGCACTACTCAGTTTACTGCCTGGTAAATGGGTTTCTCATTCACTAGGAGAGAGGGGAGCAGGAATTGTGCAACCCACATGTAAGTTCAGGGGCTTTTATGGGTGCAAAAGCCTGAGAAACAGCTATCAGCTTAGGCTAAAATCTCATTTTGCTTAAAAAAAACAACAGTTCCCTTTAGCTTACTAATTTAGAACTTGAATGAAGGACACGGACAAAAAAAAAAAATGCATAAATGTTCCCTTCAAAAAAATACATGGCTCTAAGCTATTTCTATACCTCCAAGCACAAGGCAACAAGTGGTAGAAATTACTATGTCAGGAAGATAAGGGTACTGTGTACACCTTTGGGCCTCATTATTATCTGGTAAACGAAAGTAAGGCTTTACCAATGCCTATTTGAAATGATTTGAAGATAAAATAAGTATTAAAAAAGTGAATTACTACAAAAAGTTAAATACTTTTCATTTCTTTAAGCATGAATTTCCTTAAGTGTTCCATGGGATTAGAAGATATTAGGGTATAAAAAAAAAGTGTTTTGTAGTCTAAGTTTAGGAAATGCTGGCTGACAAAATGTAGACTTTTTTTTTTTTTTTTTTGAGAGAAAGATAAAGTGTGAGCAGGGGAGAGGCAGAGAGAATCCCAAGCAAGCTCCACACTCAGCGAGGAGCCCAACATAGAGCTCCATCTAACAAATCGTTTAGATCACAACATGAGCCAATATCAAGAGTTGGACACTTAACTGAATAAGCTATCCAAGTGCCCCCGTAGAACAGAAGTCTTTGTCTCTCACATCCTTAAATGTGTAAATACACTATACGGACTCCAGTAGTAAGATACAGTATCCCAAACTCCTCTGATTATATCATTATTTGTGGAACCCTCAAGCTGACTAGGGTCTAAGAACCACTGGACATGCTGGAAATCACCTACTTCCATAAATGAATGTCCTAATCACAAATCCCCTTATCATATTGGGATTAATCCTTGTCTCAGTATGTATGTGTGTCACTAGATTAGCTGCCTAAATTAGTCCTCAACTGGGAAAGAGTCTGACATAGTTGGCATATATAGTTTGGTTAAAAAAAAAAAAAAGGCAGCAGACTATTCCATCTTGGTTAATCTAAATGCTTAAGTGGCAAAGATGAAAACCATTTTACCTATATACATACCTAGAACTTCAACTTAAGCAAAATTCTACCTAAATACTACTACTTCCCTCCAAATAGTCTAGAATACTATCGACATTCCCTAAAGACTGGCTAAAGACATCTGTGAAAACTGAGCAGCACTGATAATCTATAAACACAGAAAAATGAAATTTTAAATCAGCAACCATTATGTAGTTATTTCTCAAATCTTACCTGCCCAATTCCTTTAGTTTCTTCTGAAATTTACAGTGGACTTTCCATTGCCATTTTCCTTCAGGAGTACTAAGTTCTTCGAGGAATGTCAAAAAATTTTTAAGGTTTTCTGTTAGAGATAATGAAGTTCATTTTAATTCAATAAATAATAGTCAGCCCACAACTGAATGATGGAAGAAATGTTTGTTGATATTATATAGACACACCTACTTTCCTATGTGTGTTGCCCCCCCTCCCTTTTTCCCTCTGAGGGAGACACAGAGCTATATATACTCTTAGATTTAAGAATGTCTACCAAAAAACACCCAAAAAACATGATAACAACAACAAAGCAGAAGTGATCCAAATGCAGTAGGA